GGCGGCCGTGGCGGCCATATTGGATTTCTGATCGACCCGAAAAATAACAACACTTTGTCAGGACCATGAGGCGATCATTCCTACCAACTTTCAGTTCAATCGGTCCAGCAGAACTTGACTTTAAGTTTGAAATAGGTTTTCAAAATGGCGGCCGTGGCGGCCATATTGGATTTCTGATCGACCCGAAAAATAACAACACTTTGTCAGGACCATGAGGCGATCATTCCTACCAACTTTCAGTTCAATCGGTCCAGCAGAACTTGACTTTAAGTTTGAAATAGGTTTTCAAAATGGCGGCCGTGGCGGCCATATTGGATTTCTGATCGACCCGAAAAATAACAACACTTTGTCAGGACCATGAGGCGATCATTCCTACCAACTTTCAGTTCAATCGGCCCAGCAGAACTTGACTTTAAGTTTGAAATGTAAAATGTTAACGGACGACGGACGACGGACGACGACGGACGAAAACGGATAGCAATAGGTCACTTGAGCTAAAGCTCAGGTGACCTAAAAAGCTTACCTTACATGCAACTTGTCCAGATGCATGACCCATACCAGGTGAATAAAGTTCTTGTGTGTGTAAATGTGATGGTATTATGCTGTGCCGAATCTGTGAAGTTTTGGTCATGTGCACGTGTTTAAAACCTGTTTGTTAAGTTATATATGCATTATGCATGTATGTTCGTCAGTTTGTAGGCGTGTCTGTATTCTGTAAATGTATTGGTCCGGGGGGGGGATTGTGTAGATTTAAAGGTAATTGATCAAGGGGTTTCTTCCGTGTCTTCTACGAAGAGGACATGGAAGAGACCGACATTGATCTGCTGCCCCCACTGCAACACTTGCGATCGTTTCCTGTTTTCTTACTTTTCCATCTACTTTCTGTTTCAGGCGATGTCTCCATAGGAACCCGTCCTCATATGACCCTGGCTGTTGCGAGGACGTCAAACACCAAACAAACAATAGTACATTTTATAACATTGAAAGCATCTGATTATAATAATTTTATATAATATAACATATATCACTCCGAGAAGATTGCTAGAGGGTAATATTTGGTGAAGTCCCAGTTGAAAGTGCTTTCACTCCATGAACAGGGTATGTGTATTTTTTCTAAAAATGTATCTTTTATTTGTGTGCAAGTAATTATAGTTACATGTAATCCTTAAAGTTAAGAATATAGTGAATTATGATATAAAGTAAAGCCATTCGCTAATGTATATATAGTCGGAATAAGAGTCATCAGTTTGGTATAAAAATAAAGGCTAAGTTTGTTTTGAACACTAAACAGGAATTGAAAACTGTTTTACGAGATTTCGAAACGTCCGTTTCCTTTGTTACGCAAAGAGTATAAAAGACCGGTGTTTCGTTAAAAATAACTCTCGAAGCCACAGTGGGCCGAATCAGTTAAGTTAGGGGGCGGGTAACATGTTAACCAATTTTGCCCCTTAGTGGATGTTGAAATTGGGTCGTAAAGATGACTCGGCTGGTGGGGGCCCGTCCGTCTTCGTTCATCAATTACCCTTCCCTCCTAACCCAGATGGATTCTTTGATTGTTCCGTTTTTCCAGTTGTCCACCCTTTTAAGCATTTTCGAGTTGCTCCAGTCTATGATGTGGTTGTGTGTGTTAGCATGGTCTGTAATGGCTGATTTATTGTACCGTTTCCCTTGTAATTCTTGCTGTTTCTTGGCTTTAAATTAATGTCTTTCTGATGTTCTTTTAAGCGTGTCCCTAATTTCCGACAAGTTTCCCCGATGTATGTAAGGTTGCGTCTATTGCATGGAATTAAGTAAGCCACCTTTGTATTGTCCTTTGACGCCAATTTGTCTTTCGGATAAACTTATAGTCGCCCGATGCTGTTGTATGGTCACATAAGCGTGATGATGTGATGTTTGCGAAACACTATTGGGAGTGCTTCAGACACCCCTTGTATGTATGAGAAAGTGACCATGCCGTTATTTTTTCTCTGTGTTTGTACGTTTTCTGTTTTTTGGGGCCAATAGGATTGCTTTTATTTTCTATTTGTTTTTCTACTTCCCTTATCGACCATTCGGGGTATCCACATGTTGTCAGGGTCTGTTCGATATGTCGCTTTTCGATCTCCCGTGTCTTCCTGATCAGTTACGATGTTCGTGCATTTATCAAGGAGAGTGCGAGCTGCCCCCAAACGTCTGATGCAATGGAGTAGAACAGGGTTCGATACTAGGTCCGCGATGTTTATTAATGATATCGATGATAATTAAAATGCAACGATTGAACTTTTCGCTGATGATACGTCCTTTTACGTTGTCGTTGACATACCTAACGAGTGTGCAAATCTTTTTAACGAAAATCTTTAAAAAAAAAAATTTAGTCCATCTCTAATTGTGTAGCATTGACGAAATAAGGAAAATTTAAGCCTCAGCATCCTCCATTAATATTGAAAAATACGCCTCTTTTAAACACCTTGGAGTTGTTCTCTCTGAAAATATGGGGGAGGGGGCATACTAAGCTGTTGCCAGAAAGCAAATATTAAGCTAGGATTGATGAGAAAGTTGACAGAAAGTCATTGCAAACTATGTACGTCTTCTTCACGAGACCATTCCTCGAATGACTGAATTAAAAAGAATGTTATGCTCTGTACGTTATGAGAGCAAAAGACCTTGTATGCTATAACTTTAGAGTACTTTCATTTACAATGTTCTTAAACTGAGTGAGCGCAAAAAATCGGAAGAACTCTCGTCAATGTTTACTGATGAATCACAAAATTCACCGCTGTTATTTCACATCTGATTGTTCATCAAAGTAATTCGAGGTCAAACGCATTTGATAAGTAGAAGTTTGGCGGTATTTCTTATAAACAATATGATTTGTTAGCTTTTAATCAGACAGTTTTCTAACGGTTTCATCCATATTGCATCACACGACTATTTACATTCGAGTCTTTAATTTTTCAGGCAAAGAATATTCGATTAGAGCATCGCCCTGTCTTCGTTTTAATTGCCATCCTCAAAATCCCCGGGATTAGCTCACATCAGCCTTTGCACCTGTTAATCGGGAGCTGGTTTCCCGCACTTTTGCCACGTAATGGCGTGTTCGACTAGTCCAAGTGTAGGGGTGTGCTGCGATAGTATATTTCTGTATTGTTATCAAGTACTGTGGTGATTATAGATTCGCAATGCTGTAAACCTATTCACCGCCGACATAATACAGATACATTTTTGTGACCCCACGCAGGTTTACAGTCTTCTCGTCTCAGGTGAGTGGGTAGGGTCATCGTCGATATCCAGGGGTTACGCTCACTTTCGCTCTCTGCACCCATACAATCATCTTCGCTAGCAAAAGGGTTACGATCCGGTCTTCCTACTCGTAAAGAGTAGATAGATCGTACCGGATCGTAACCCTTGGCTAGCAAAGATGCCCTGGAATGTGTCATGGCAAAATTTGAAGGCTTGGAATGTGTCATAGCAAAATCGAAGACTCAAGTTTGCAGCACCTTGTGGAAGAGACGAGAAAGCTAGTTTGATCCTTTGATGTACATCAAAAGAATCTCGCGGTCGTGTAACGGTAACCTTACTGGTTTTGAAGTCGGGCGTCGCTCCTCTGTAATCTTCATAGAACAAGTATCAGCCTAGTGATTGTTCAGGTTTTTTTTAACCAGACACCAATCAAATAGCCAGCCGCTTGCCTTCATTAGAATAGTAACACTTGGTTAGCTACATTTAATAGGCAATGAAATATGAAGTACCAATAATAAAGTTAGTATTTACTGTGAAAAGTCATCGTGAGTAACGACGATGTATACATCTCCCAATCTCGATTAGAAAACCTGTGATTATTGAGTGCTCAAATTTTACAAAAAACAAATGTCTTTATAATCACTTAATGAAGTGAGGTGTAATTCTTAAGTTTATAGAAAGAGATACATAACACTCGACCATTTTGTGTCGCACCTGTCGTATGTTCTTTGGTTAACCTGCATCGTGGACATATTATGCCAAGTATGGCGTACAAAGCAAACTCAATGTCGGTGATGTAACCATTTCCTCTAGAATTTGACGGTAAATCTCAGCCAAGTTCGAACTTAGGATTTGAGAAGCTGCACTCTTTTGACCCTTGGCAAATACATTTTCAAGGCCTGCACTAACCTTATTCAAGTTTGAAATGTTTTGCCCATTTTTACATTTAACTAACAAACAGACAAGTTGTTTTGCACAAAGGCACAAGCCCTTGGTCCCCTTTTCATTCAAAAGCTATTGATGGATTTTAACACAGTTTGACCCCCATGACCTTGACAAAAGGTAAAGCTTTTTGTTCATCCAACCGTAATGTATGCACAAATTTCATGGCCTTAGGCCAAGGTTTAATATACCTGACCCAAGTAAATTTGAACGTGGGTCATTTTAGTGAACAAACTTGATAACCCTTGGCTTCATCCAGTCATGTTGCATGCCAAGCATCATAACTTTGGTTTCTTGGTTCTTCAAAAGAAGGCGTTTAAAGGAAACGTGTTACCAGACAGATGGATACTGCATCATGGCATAGGCACAGACATACATGTTACAGAGTGCAGGTGAACTAAAAACTGTTCTATACAGTGAAACCAGACTTCATCCATTTGTAAAGGACCAAGATTATTTGTTGATCCAGAAACAAGACTTTTAGGACCACAAATTCATGTCAGATATTAAGCCAAAACAAACTTATGTGTACACTTTATGTTTCATGTACCCCAACCAACCCGACTTTTTACCTGAAATCCGAACAATTTTATCTCACTTGAACGCACTCCATCCAGATGAAAAAAACTACATATATATACCCTCTGAGTTAAAAGACCTCAAAATATGCTAGGCGATTTTTGTGATAGGTAATTTGTAAATGAGCCTGACTCTCCTAAAATAAATTTTTAAAATCCCAGCTGATCCTATTAATTTCAGTATTTTTTTTTGTCAATCTTCAGATGTCTATACAATAAAACCAGGTTTCACTGCATATTCTTATCATTGAAGTAAATTACTATGTTGAAACATTCTCTTTATTCTCATAAAAGACATATTCAATCTTATTCATGGTAAAATTGTACATGTACTAGCATCAAATCTACTTTTTTGTTCATAATATAAACATGTCTTTCGTATTAAAAATGTATAAATGTACATGTATTTTGAATTAAAACTGTAATACATGTGTTCTGTATTAAAATTGTATAGATCAGCTACATGTATGCTATTCAAAATTGTATATACATGTATTTTTCACATTCAATTCTAATTTAAATATAGATCACAGTTGTACTTGAATTCTTGGCATATCTACTGAACAAAAATACAGATACCGATCAGCAAAGAAGATAATACATATTGTATCTTAAAGCTTTTACAAGTTTGAATCTTGTACATCACCTCAATCAAAAATAGAAAAGCTCATTAATATTGTCTGAAGCACTCAAAATGTTTTCAACCATTTAGTGATATCCAACCTACGAAGTGGTATGCAACTGTTGGATACACTTGACATTAACAAACATGAAGTAATGTATTCAACCTACTTATGTAACCAAGGTCGCAGAAGGGCCCCTCCCCCTTCTTTTAAGTTCAGTAATAAAACCAAATCCCATTACACGTACAACAAAACAATATTAGCCAAGATCTAGATAGAAAATGTAAGGGAGACAATTTTAAAAATGAACAAAAACATCATCTGCAACATATCCTTCAAACCCTATAAAAGTATTTCGAGTCCTATGAATACTAATTAGGCCAAATATGTATCTAATTGGGCTGAATAATATATTATGTGTATTAAAGACTTCATGCATCGTTTGTAGTACTGACCACCTGCTCGGCCGGCATGTAGTCGGGCTGACAAGATATATGTACAATGTACTCGGTCTGTGTGGAACCGTACTCGCTACGTGCAGGGGAGTAATCAACGTGGACTTCCGAGTACGGCTGATCACTCGTAGACACATATTCTGTATGACTTATACCATACCCCATCTCTTTAGAATCTAACTGAGTCTGTTTGGGCAAGTGGTACTCCACATGCTCAGGCGAATGGTATTCCGCTTTTTCAGCGGATTTAAACTCGACCTGTTCAGGGGAATGGTAGTCTGTTTGTACAGGCGAGTGGTATCTGGGTTGTTCGGACACCCCGGCCAAATCAGTTTTGTACTCGGTCTGTTTCATAGCCACATACTGAGTAGAATGTTTCCGTTTGGGGCCTAACTGTTTATATCCATTATCGTGCTCTTTGTTAGAGACCGAGTTTGGACCTGCGACGACACCATCAACTTGTGGCGATCGAATCACAATAATCTTCTGACCGAGTCTGTGATCAACTTTCTGAATAGGATGCACTATTTGACTGTTGGGAATCTCTGAGTAAGCACCGGACTTTTCCTGCCTTTCTACCGGCCCTTGGTTAGAGTGGAACTTCTTCATGTGAAGGGTGATGCCGCGGTCATGTTTAAATGTAATGTTGCATATGTCACAAGTACTCTGTGTATCACTATCGTGCGCCTTCCGATGCTCCTTGAGCTGGACGTTCCAGGCCGAGGCGTAATTACACTGGTCACACTTGTATGGCTTCTCCCCTGTATGCGTCCGCATGTGACTCTTCAGCTGGTAGTCCTGGACACAGGAAAAGTCGCAGAGCTGACATTTGATTGGGTGGATACCTAGAAAAGGAAATGTGTACAATCGTTAACTTAAATCATTTTGAAGAATTAAGACTCTTTCAGTTAGTTAAATTTGTCCTCTGCATTAGGATTCAAATGACAAGTTGTTAGCATGCTATAAAATCCTCAGTTTTTACAGTACATAATGTTAAACCATTTTATTAAGATATGAATACCAGGTCAAGATAAATTTGCACATGTTTACTTTTCAAATTCATTCAAGGACTATTCACCTTTGAGAAGATCTAGAGTTATTCAAACCTGATCATTATATAATCCATGCACTTTTAAATAATAATTGAAATAAACTAATACCTATTGTGTATGGTGACATAATATAGAATTAAATTATCATTCCTGTGATTTGTGGCCCGTTATGATGACAACTGTACATCACTGAAGGAAGTGTGTTCCAGCAGGCACACACTAATTTACTATTAATATGATGTGTTTAAACCATTACAGTATATACACATCATAACTAGTAGTGTGTACAGCACCTCAGTCCTGTGCATAAAACCTTACCTTTTGCTTTTCATCCTGTGGTGTTGGGTACAAACAGTGATTGTTTACCTGTGATCACCATTAAGAGGAGGACTGTTTTTGTGGTGACTATATATTTATGGAAGCATCACTTGCCTTGAGGGTGTGACATTGGAATCCCCAATCCCAGAGGTGATGTTTTTCATTGTCTGACCCATGGCCAAGGCTTTGCCAAGAGTTAGACAACGAAATATTCATCTAAAGGGTTGGGGATTTCTTTGTTAAATAATCAAGGTAGGAAATAATTTTTCTCATCCCATCCCATCACTCCTGTTCTTTGTTTGAAAACAATAGTTTTCAGCATTTGTAAATCTGCAGTCAGCTTTTTAACCCTTTCACCACTGTAGACCATAATGGACTCGTCCATATCAGTGCATGGTAGAGTCTACTCAGTTACATAGGGGTGAAAGGGTTAATTCATGACTTCACATCAAGGGCTGATTGTGATGCTATCTGATGTTACCTGTAGCGTCATAGTGTTGTTTTCACTTGCTATCTGTCATTCCCTAGGGGGCGATAGAAGTATCCTGAACAGTGAAAGGGGAGATAATTCTACGAATGTACATCAAACCTTACCCGTGTGCCTCATCCTGTGGTGTTTGATGGACTGAGTCGAGTTAGTGGTGAAGGAACAGACTTCACACTTGTGGCTGTGGATTTTCAGATGTATTGTGTCCATGTGTTTCTTCATCCCTGATCGAAGAACTGTCTTTCCACACACCTCACACGGGATCTTGTTGCCCTCGGTGTCCGACCTAGCTTTACACTTCATACCCCTCACGTGACACTGTAGTCTCTCCTGACCAAAGAAAAACTCGCCACACTTTTCACACTGAGCAGCAAGTTCTGGATGTGCTACGGTCACATGTTTCTTCTTGTCAGCACGGCAGCTGAAGTACTCCAGACATTTCGGACACTTGAACGGTTTCTGGTCATGCTTTTTGGCCAGGTGTACTTTAAGACTCCTTTGTGTGTAGAATTGTTCGGCACAGAACTCACAGGTGTAGAATTTCTCTATGTGGTTTTCAATTCTATGGTGAAACAACACAAGAGGCTTGCTGAAGGTCACACCACAATCGACGCAGGTCAACTGACCTTGTAGATGAAGCTTGATGTGGTTCTCCATCGAGGCTTTGTCTGTCGCGTTGAACTGGCCATCGCACAGCTTACACGTATACCTGTAGTAGGATTTGTGTTCAAAATCTAGATTTCTATCCTTTTGACTTTTTGAGGTGAACATTGTCAGTTCGTACTTGTCCTCATGGTCCTCTAACTTTACGTTCACATCCTGGCATTTTTGGACAGCACTTCTGTGAATGGTTCGCAGCTCCTTCAGTTGGCTCTTCCGTTCCTTCTTTCTCTCAATTTCTTTCTTTTTAGCCTCTTTCTCCAGTAAAGTGAGTTTAGACATCCCTTTGACTTTCCAGAAGCTTTCTTTATTTTTCTCATCTCCGAGCCCTTTCTTTTTGCGACCCCTCTTCCCTTTTGGTTTAACATTGTCGTCAACACTTTCCTCTACACTGGGTTCTTCATTCAATTCTTCTTTAACAACCTCCTCATCTGTTTCAGGGTCAAAATCTGGATCAATTTCCTCTTTACACACAATTAGTCTTTGTTTCTTCTTTGCAGTCTCACCATTTTCACTTTCTAATTCAAGTTCGTCATCTTCATCAATGTCATCGATATCTTCGTCATCCTCATCATCAAGATCATCTTCACTATTGTCTAAATCTTCATCACTTATGTCCAATTCAATCATCTTCATGAATGAAATGCGATCTTTTCCTTTTAGCCTCGTACTGCGTCGGCGACCACTATCTTCCTCATCGCTCTCTTTGTTTTCCTCTAATTTTTCATCGACACTTTTGCTCTTATCGATCTTTTCATCACTGTTCTCCATTGAAGCACTAGCAGCTGATAGCTTTGGTTTCCGTTTCTTTTCCGATTTATCAGTCTCTGTTGGTGGTTTTGCTGCAACAGCTGTTTCATCAGTTTCATCAACTGTCCTTTGAAACGTTCTCTTTCTCCGCTTTTTGTACGGAATAGTAACATCATTTTCACAGTTTATCATACCTCTACCCCTGGTAATAGATGCATTACACACTAGACTTATAGGCCGAGGTGTCGTATGAACTGTATTTTCAGCTGCCTTGTTGTCACTCAATGGTTCGCCGATACGTTCAGTATTATCGTCAAATTCCTTTTTTACTCTGACAGCATTGGTTGATGATGCCGACGTCTGTGGCGGGGGTACATCATCCTTCACTACTATTTCTATGTCATCAGATCCACAGGACTTGCAGTAGAATGTGTAGTCATCCAGTTCTGCTGGTATATTCTTCCTGTTAAAGAGAATAGTTTCATATTCAAAAACATGCATAATGTAAGACATTCTTTTGCACACTGTCTAGCAGATCGTCTCATATTTCCTTGAAAATATTCTTCAGCATTTTTGAGTACTGAATTATTGACTGCTGGCTAGCACAAATCTTCACTGAAAAAGCAATATATACATAAACACTGTATCAAGTAAGTCCAAAAAATTCAAGGAAAGTTATGTGCAGAGGTTCTTAAAGCCATTTTTTTTTCTGCTTTATTTAATTCGTCTTGTTTTAGTGTCTACATCAATAGTTTTAAACATAACACTTTTAAAAAATATGGGGAGTGCGAAATCCAACGTCCGTGCAAAGAAATCAGGGAAGTTCTGTGCTTTGTGTTTAAATTTGTTCTGCTGATGACACACCTCATGATTCAAAACTAGTCAAGGTAAACTTGGATTGAAGCTGTTATACCCAGCACGATGGTGTCATGGTACTCTTTTGGTTACTTTTGAAAAATGTTTGCAAAATATGTTGCCTACCTTTAATATGTTATCTCCCCTTTGTTAAGATAAAAAAAAGTTATCCAGTTTAATAAATATGCAGATGGTCTTAAAGGAGATACATGAGCATATTAACAATAAACTCAATGACTTTGATTATCAAAAAAATAAGTTCAATGGCATACCAGTATATCATATTAAGCTACCAAATTACTTCCCTTTGAGCACTGTCAAATTTGGAAAAATCTCAAACATTCAGAAATTATTTGCATCATGTGAAAATGTATGCCCTAAAAGAAGATTTGTTTGTGTATATCTTATATCTATATTCAATACATTAAAATATCTATTGACTTATAATTATATAGGCATGTCAACACAGAAATTCTTCTGAAATTCTTATTTGCATGGTATTTTGCATCCTCAATATTCAGGGGTAACGCTCACTTTCGCTCTCTGCACCCCTGGAATATGTCATGGCAAAATTGAAGGCATGGCAAAATTGAAGGCACGAAGATAGCTGTTTGATTGGTCTCAGGTAAAAAAAACACCTGACCAATCGCTAGGCTGATACCTGTCCTTTGAAGATTACAAAGGAGAGATGCCCAACTTCAAAGCCTGTCAATTTTTACTGTTACATGACCGCGATATTCATCAAAGGATCAAACTAGTATTCTTGTCTCATCAACAAGGTGGGGCACATTAATTGAGCCTTCAATTTTGCCCTCCTTACCACTGCTTGTTAACTAATCTGATCACAAGCTTTGTTTCATAATCTGGCCCACAAATAAAGAAAAATATAGTAAACATGTCTTTTTCAAAATAACTTTTTTTTTGCATCTTCAACTTATTGCAAAAATTTTCATATTATGATTATTTTTGCCATAAGTTGAAGATGCAAAAAAAAAGACATACTTTCTTATTCTAAGATATGAACTTACCTTCTATTCTTGCCGATAGAAAATGGACCTTGGGCTTGGGACCGTTTTTCATAACTGAAAAAAAAAATACATTCATGAAGTAAATTATATGACCATGTAATACATGAAAGGTTTTTGTTCTTGTCTTATAAAAACAGATTACCATGAAAGTGATCATCCTTCATACAATTAGGATTCATTATGACAAAGCAAGTGTTCACAAGTTTAGAGTAAGATCAATCGGTATAACTTCAAGTAAATAGTACAGAATTTATGGTCAAGATGATAGTTTTTCACCCCTTCTCTTAGCTTATCTTATGCCATATATACGACACTAAATAAAGCTTCTTGTATCTTGTTAGCCCAAGTTTTCCTCTGGCGCCGACACCAGACATGATGACAGATAGATGTACACCAGACATCTATCTGTCAAAATATCTAAGTCTGGTGTCAAGGCCAGAGGAAACTCGGACTACCCTTCTGTAAACGGGGTTTGAGATATATATATATATATATGCATGTCAAGTGAAATGTGTACTTCTGATCATGATAAACACTGATAATCTGACAGCTTATATTACAGTCACAATGGAATATTGGTGTGGCAGTTCTTGACTGCATTTTCGATGACAGGGAACTATAGTCAACATATACATATAGATCTCTTTCAGGAAGGATGTAAAAGTTCATCCAATTTTATTTCAAATCTTACCACCCCGACGAGATGTCTTTAATTCCTATTAATAAACCTTCACACTAGATTTATCCACTGTATCATGTGAATTTTAAATTGGGAAAGTTGCATCTCAAAACACATATTACACAGTATATAATATTGGATCTAGGAGCATGCTTAGTATCCCTTAGCTGCGATAACGTAGCTTCTGACGACGAGAGATTCTTGTATATATTGCGTGGCCGGGTATTAAGAGGAGGCCGTGTATTAATATTGTAATATTATTATTATTACTAAGTATCCGTACGTAGGCCTACATACCTTCCATTTCTATCACAGATTAGACATGTTTGATGCAACAGATATTTATATGATATTTTTCATCTACCAGGGTTATATATTATGTTTATTGATTAAACGTAAAATGTTGATGACGACCCCATGACTGCGAAATGTACAACCAAAATTGCCATTACCGGTCCAGAAGGAAATGAATAACATCGGCGTTGCTTTCCAACTTTAGTGTTGCTTTGACCGAATTCAACCTTTCGCGATCAACATCGCTTCCAAGCACTACTTCACGTTGACACTTTTTCTTTGTACTAGAAACCACTTGCGTTAAGGATCTATTTGGCTCAACTGGGCGGGTTCTTGGTCGCCCTCGCCGGCGTTTTATATTTGGATTTTGAGTCCCGTTCTTCCCCGCCGCCATGTTTATTCATAGTATTTTCTAATTTTAAAACCGTATAGGCCTAGTCGATCCGGAAAATTCAACAACGCACTGGAGAAGAACTCGGATAATCATTTCAATCTTTATTTATCCACAAGCAGTAACTTATAACTTTCTTTGAACATTTATTTGTTTTTGTCTTAAATGAGAACCGAAGAATACGTAAGTCATAGCAAAGTACCAATTTTAACCGACTCCTTTTCGAGGGCCTCAATCTCAGAACTGGCTGGAGTTAAAGTTCCCGCGAATTTTCGATAATTCCATCTGAAACGACATGTACTTCCTGGTGTGATTTATTAAAAGCAGAAATAGATATATAGGCCTTGTGTAAACATTCTGTTTTCATAATGCTTCAAAATCCCATTCTGAGAAATTTGTGGAAAAAAATATATTGACTCAGAAATATATACACCAAGGCCGTCTATGGCTATATTTTTCTTTACATAAAAGCGTTGTTGCATATTAACTACTAGGACAAAACTGGAATTTGCGACGAAATTAGAGAAAAAATCTGTCCAGTTCTTTCTGAGATAAATGTCATAATATGAAATGTTTACAGAAAGACAGACCACAGACAAAAAGGTGATTAAAAAAGTCTGCTACACTTTGTATCTGCTGTATAATGGTGGGCCTGGAGTGATGTTTAAATTGTAAAGAACCTGTGGCCGAATGAACGCTTCATCATATAAGCACCCTCTAGACTCCATGGGGTTTTACTCATTCTCTGCACCCCTGGAATATGTCATTGCCAAATTGTAGTCACGGATGCAGCTACCTATTTAATTGGTCAGTGACTATGCTGATACCTAGGCCTGTCCTTTGTAGATTACAGAGGACCTCGAGTGACGTATGTCTTCAAAGCGTTGGTCAATTTTACTGTTACACTACCGATTCTTTTAATTTACATCAAAGGATCAAACTATCTTCTTGTCTCATCCACGATGTCAGTGTACACTCGGAGCCTTTGAATTTACTATGACCGGCCGCTTCAAGGGGTGCAGAGAGCGAAAGTGAGCATTTTACCCCAGAGTATTGAGGATGTCATACAAGTAGTAACGTTATATCATCTAAATGTTAGCGAATTTTAATGTAATGTTAAAATGTTTTGTAATATATTATATCTGGGGCTTAATGGGCATTAAATGAACACTGGGCCTTGCAAAATGCAGGATAAATATACATGTATATAGATGACCAAGCATGATGACTTGACCATGATTGACCATGTTCTTATTACCAGTCAATTATCAAACATGTTCATAATCCAGTCATTTTTGCCTGAAGTACTTCAGAATTTTCAGACATTTTTTTGCAGTAATTTTCAATAAAAAAAATCAGAACTTTGAACTACTACATACTGAAAATTGATTTTAGAAGATATACCATCATGAAGTCCTACACACCAGTACAGTATTCACAACTCCTTATTTCGTCTTTGCGTATTGCAGAGTTATCTTCTCTTGGGAGCAGGTATCGATTGTTATGTCACTTGTTTGTGAGAGTAACGTCATCAATTTTTGAGAAAACGACGCAATTTTCTCGCACAAACCAATGACGTAACAATCAATACCTGCTCCCAAGAGAAGATAACTCTGCAATACGCAAAGACGGAATAGTCATGTAGATGTTAAATGTTGCGTTGTCGTGAGAAAGCAAACTTAAAAATAAAAGTGTTTCAAAGAGCTATGGCGGTTGGCTATGCTTATTTCCCCAAAGCTGTGATCAGCTTAAGTGCGCGCCTGCCTCTGTGTAATGCCACGACACGTACCCAGGTCTTTTTATACAGGTAGCTCTATCGGAATCCTGTGTCTAAGAAAAGATTACTGGAAACAGCCGAATTTAAGGATATGGCTATTAAATGTGCATCTCATGATCACAGTAAAGACACAACAAAATGCCTAATTTCACGTTATTTATATAAATCTAAAACAGATCGTATGCTGTAAGTTACACAAGCTTGTACAATCATTACAGGGGGGGGGGGGGGGGGGGGGGTACCAACAAGTTTTGAAAGGATTTAATTTTCATTACTACTGTCTGTGTTATGCTGTAATCTGTTTTCTTACAAAACACACGTCTTGGTTTTGTTCTTCCTGCACCTTCGAATGGCAAATTATACATAATTTTCGAATACCATGTCTAACATGTGTATTGCGCTTCTTACATGGTGCTGCAGTCTTCCTGCATTTCAAACAGGGGAGCTCGTGACTGTCCTCGACGATGAATTTTCCAGCAGTTTAATAACATATTTTTGCTTGGCCTTTTTCTTTTTAAATTCTGACGCAACAATCCCACATATTTTGTATTTCAGCAATATTTGTTAGTATTAAAATAATAAAAAAAAATCATTAGTGCCAATTGCAGGGAAAAACAATTGATAAATATCATTTGAAATGATGTCTTATCTACAAAGCGTAGGAAAATAATCAAAATATCATCGGTGTTCCCACATGTACAGGCCTGGGAAAATATAATAAGCTTGGAAAAATAAAACCTACAACTTGTGATAAACGAAAAGTTTTTCTCTTGCTGTTTCTTACAGTAAAATGTATATATAGTAATAAATAAACACATCAGTTTCCAGTGGCTTTGATTATGTATTTTGAATGCTCCTTCATGGATGGTAATATTTTGAACATTGCACAAATAGTTACAAACGGAAACTTGTATAACCATGCTTTTTAATCCATTTGGGAAAATAAAGACTGAAATTGGGAAAATGCAGTCATTTTTCAATTGGGAATGTTTCCCTGAACGTACCAGACCCTATAAACACCTTCCAAAAAACCTGTATACATTAATTTGGTTCAATAATTCCTAAAGATCAAACACATCAATTTGAATTGTAGCACTCTGTATCATTCACAGTTGTATGCTACTTTTTTATAACTTGCAGTCTTGAATTGGGCATTAAGGATATTGTATGTAATTTGGTATAATTGTTTTTATCCAAAGACATTATATATGTGTCTAATAACATTTATGTTATGATGAATAAAACATGAATGTTGAATGAAATCCCTCCTATGTGAAAGCAGAACATTGTTAAGGAGGTGGAACCCAGAACTCTTCTGTGACAGCCTCTCTATTGGTGCTGACGGATTGAAAAAATAATAATTTAAGCACAAAATGAAGGAAATTCTGAAATATATATAATATCTAAGGTTAAAATACTTCATCCAATTTATAATTGCAGTGTTTCTGTAAACTGTTTGATCTTGTGTAGGTATTGGGCCATACCCCAATAAATTCCTGTCTTTTTAAGATGGCAATTCATGCAAATCAACGATCTTTCTGGAAAAACAAGCAAATTCGTGGAATTTATATCCCCCACTTGCAGGACATATTGAAGGTTAACATTATTGAGGTTAGGTTTAAACATGTGAGTATCGTGCTGTTGAGACATAATGTATAGCTTGAAACTTGAAGAAAAAGAAATAAAGCCCTATACCTCATTGATTATCTGTAAATATGCACAAATCACATCGGTTCGCAAACTTAGCATGAGTTGGATGTGCATAAGGAATTTGGTTGAAACATCTTAACAATATCTACAACAACAAGTACTAATTGTAATGGGGGACCATTACTGATGTCCCCCAAACTGCCCCCATATTCGCAAAGATGCATCAGAAAAGGAGCACATTGCCGTAGTAAACCTACATATAT